TCCTGAGGTAAATCCATCAAAGAGCAAGTAGGCCAGAAAGTAAAAAAGAAAGCATTCTGAATTTTTGCTGCAACTGTTTCCTTCTAAGCTTATATTATTATTTAAATATTTTAAAAATCATATCCATGACCAATTTTTTTAATAGGTTTGGTGTAGATAGCGCACTCACTACACCTGTGGCTCTAGTCCAAAAGAAAGAAAAAGAGGAAAAATAATAATCTTGTTTTGAATTTCCACTGTTCTGTATAGAGAAAGATTCAAAAATATCTTGTATTATAATACAAAATCTTGATGCAACTGTGGCCCATGGAAAGTTATTCTGGATTAAAACAGGATATTTGTATATATTTGTTCCTTTTTTTGCCTACAATCCACAACACTGGCTCAGCCTCTTTAAACAAGCAGGAATAATATCTCTGGATTCACATTTATAGCCCTAAATATTACATTCCAATAAATAAGATCATGCTACCAGACTATGAATGTGCAATCATATAATCATTATGACTTCAAAAGAAAGAAAAGATGATTATTTTGGTCTGCATTTTTATAGATTTTATCTTTAGTACAGGCTGATATCACAGTACTTAATTCATACGATTCAAAAAATTCAAAAGGCAGATATTTAAAAAGCTCCTTCCACATTAAAGTAAAAACTTCATTGTTTTATTTCGTTATAAAATAGACTCATTTGCTAGCGATCCCACCTTGAAAGGGGGGGGGGTTATAAATTTATACAATTAAATTAGATGACCTATCAGTCATCCTAATTAATTTATTCCTTCTTATTTATTGTTATTGTCTTTTCCAACACTCCGATATATGGAGGTACATGGTAAAACAAGTTTGCTTGCTTTTAACGCACTCTATATTATGCATGCTGAATTTCACACTTATCCGAGTAAAAATAAATTTCCATAATTAAGCCAAAATAGGTCTTCTCATTCTTTGAATGGTTTCCTGAATAATAGAATAGAATGGAATTCTTTATTGGCCAAGTATGATTGGACACACAAGGAATTTGTCTTGGTTCAAATGTTTTCAGTGTACATAAAAGAAAATATACATTTGTCAAGAGTCAAGAATCATAAGGTAAACACTTAATAATAGTCATATTATACAATAAGTAATCAACTCATACTAGGAAACAGTCAATAGAAATCGTAAGGATACAAACGACAAAGTTACAATCATACAGTCACAAGTGGGAGGGGATAGGTGATAAGGAGTGATGAGAAGATAAATAGTAATAGTAGTGCAGACTTTATAAATAATTGGACAGTGTTGAGGGAATTATTTTTTGGCAGAGTGATGGTGTTTGGGAAAAAACTGTCCTTGTGTCTAATTGTTCTGGTGTGCAGTGCTCTATAGTGTTGTTTTGAGGGTAGGAGTTGAAACTGTTTATGTCCGGGATGTGAGGGGTCTGTAGATATTTTCCCAGCCCTCTTTTTGACTCATGCAGTAAACAGGTCCTCCATGGAAGGCAGGTTGGTAGCAATTGTTTTTTTTTCTGCAGTCCTAATTACTCTCTGAAGTCTGTGTCTGTCCTGTTGGGTTGCAGAACCAAACCAGACAGTTATAGAGGTGCAGATGACAGACTCAATCATTTTTCTGTAGAACTGGATCAGCAGCTCCTTGGGCAGTTTGAGCTTTCTGAGTTGGTGCAGAAAGAACATTCTTTGTTGTGCATTTTTGAAGATGTTTTTGATTTTAGGTCTAGTGATATGATAGACCTAGATACTTGAAGGTCTGTACCGTTGATACTGTTTGCATTCATTTGAACTTTACAATAGTTCAGCTTTAGTTCCAAAGCTGAGAAATTCCAGGAATACAAGACTAGAATTCTATAACTAACTCGTTTTCAGTCTGTCTCCTTCATTTAATCGAATTATGGAAACTCTCTACACTAGGTGAAACTTGGCTTCATACCAGTAACTGTGAGAGGGATCTTGGCAGGGATGGGCTTCAAAAGTTTCAGCAACGGGTTGCTGAGTGGGCGTGGCCATGGTGGTCGACCTCCTGCACCACGGCGGGGGCTGTTTTCGCCTTCCCCAGGCGTTGGAGGCTTTCCTTGAGCCTCTAGGAGGGCTAAAATGGCCTCCCCCAGGCTCCGGAGGCCCTCCAGAGGCTGGAAACTGGCCTGTTTCTGGCCTTCTGGAGCCTCCAGGAGGCCCTGCACTTACCTCACATTCAAAATGGGCCGCAAGGAGACTCCTGGGAGAGGTGGGGATGGATGGGGTGAGGTGGGTGGAGCCAGCCAGAGGTGGGATTTGGTGATTTGCCAAACCAGCCCTAACGTTAGCAACGGGTCCGCCCAAACCTGGGCAAACCCATAGCAGCCCACCCGTGGATCTTGGAGTCCCAGAGGACAATCACTTAAATATGAGCCAGCCGTGTGCCCAAAAAAAGCCAAAACAGAGGGATAGAATCAAGATCACGTGAAGTTGCAGTACCGCTTTACAAAGCCTTAGTAAGACCAACCTTGGAACGCTGCCTTTTGTGGTTCTGGTCACCACAATATGGAAAAGATGTTGAGACTCTGGAAAGAGTGCAGAGAATAGCAACAAAAAACGATTAGGAGGCTGGAGGCTAAAACATAGGAAGAATGGTGATGGGAACTGGGTATGTGTGTTTACTCTAGAGAAATGAAGGACTAGGGGAGACATGATAGCACCAGTGGTGGGATTCAATTTTTTTTACTACTGGTTCTGTGGGCGTGGCTTGGTGTGTGTGGTGTTGTTTGGTGGGCGTGGCAGGGGAAAGGTTACTGGAAAATCCTCATTCCCTCCCCACTCCTGGGGGAAGGATACTGCAAAATCCCATTCCTCCCCCACCCCACTAACCTGCTTTCCAGCTCCGTTCTCCTGTGCAGGGCAACCAAAGAAGACCCAGCTGACCAGTGAGGCTGGAAATGGGCCCATTTCTGGTCTTCTGGAGCCTCTGGGAGACCTGTTTCCCTCCTCCCCAGGCTCCAGAGGCTCTCTGGAGGCCCATTTTCAACCTTCCAAAGCCTCTGGGAGGCCTGTTTTTCACCCTCCCTGAGCAGAGGTGGTATTCAGCAGTTTCTGACCAGTTCTGGAGAAACGGTAGCGGAAATTTTGAGTAGTTCAGAGAACCGGCAAATACCACCTCTGACTGGAGATTTTACAGCATCCTTCCCTTGCCGCGCCCACCAAGCCACACCCACAGAACCAGCAGTAAAAAAATTAGAATCCCACCACTGTCCCTGAGCCTCCACACAGGCCCTGCACTTACCTGAGATCCAAAACAAGCCACATGGAGACTCCAGGGAGGGGTAGGGTGGAGTGGGCAGGGCCAGCCAGTCGTTGCATTGAACTGGATGTAAAATTAACATCCAGTTCGCCTGAACCTGTGCGAACCGGTAGCAGCCCACCCCTGGTAACACGGTTTTTAAGTGACTCTGCCTTCCCTGTTGACTTTGCTTTTCAGAAGGTCACAAAATGGGATGACGTGACCCCTGAACATTGCAACCATCATAAATATGAGTCAGTTGCCAAACGTCTGAATTTTGTCACTTTTTTCACTGTCCTTGCAATTTTGTACGGGTTCTAAATGAACTGCTGTAAGTCGAGGGCTGCCTCTATAGAAAATGGGTTTAACAGCTAGGGGCTTTATGATATTAAAATATTGTGATACTGTAGTAGGAGCAAGTGTACATGTACTAGATAGTGAATAACAACATGCCTTTGCAGGCGCTAATGGATTCAGCTTTCATGTTATTCTGAATTGTGTGAATGAAAGTTGATTTTAATGGTGTTCTGAGTTCTGTAGAAAAAAACGTATCCAGCTGAAGAGAATATTTATAGCTCAGGGTTCAACCGTGGGGTCTCTTGGTGCTCTCTGAGTTAGATTGCTTTCATCTTTCAAAAGACCCAGTTAGCCCCAGGAGAGGGGGGGGGGAAAAGAGTCATCTGCAAAATACAGTGTAAGGACTGTAACAACCGCTATGTTGGACCAATTGTGATTTAATGGTGCTTTTTCTGCACAGTTCTGATCTTTGCTGATATAGACATGCCATGGCTTCAGAAATTTTTTTCCAAGTGTCTGCTGTCCCTTCTGCTTTTACCTTCCATCTTTCCCAACCTCGGGGTCTTTTCCAATTAGTCCCCTCTTCTCATTTGGTGGCCAAAGCATTTCAACTTCTGCATCTGCCCTTCCAAAGAACAGTCATGGCTGTTTGCCTTTAGGATGGACTGATGTAGAGGTGGTATTCAGCCAGTTGTGACAGATTCTGGAGAACCGGTAGTGGAAATTTTGAGTAGTTCGGAGAACCGGCAAATCCCACCTCTGACTGGCCCCGCCCCCATCTCTTCTGTGTCTCCCAAGTCCCAGCTGATCATGATGAGAATAGATGTGGGGCAGGGCCAGTCAGAGGTGGGATTTGCCAGTTCTCCAAACTACTCAAAATTTCTGCTACTGGTTCTCCAGAACTGGTCAGAACCTGCTGAAGACCACCTCTGCTGTGTTGCCTCTGTGCCATGCCCCGCATCATCGTAATCATCCAAACTGTTCTTGTGCCAAACTAAATGCAATGAATTCAACCTTTCCACCACCTCAATAAATGTTGGTTTAGTCCAGAAATGCTCTAATTTGCTCTAAACTTTAAATGTCACATTGAATTATTGTCACAGTCAGAAGACTTCAAGGCTTTCTTATGATGGCATGATTGTTGCTAGTCTTATATTTCCAGAGCTACTGCTACCTAAAAAAAATAAATACATCCCAAATCTGTGCCGTGTATAAACATTGTGCTGAATTATTGCCATAGGTGTTCAACTAAATTTGGGTAAATGTCAGAGTAAGTGTTTCTGTTCAACAAGCTGTTACCCAGAGCACAGAATCAGGATTTCTGCCTTACGCTTGTGTTCACAATTTTTAAAATAAGTGTTCTTTTCTCCGTGAAACTACACCGCTATAAATACACGGTCTCAACCAGTTTTGTTCATTCTTTTTTCTTTTCCCCACCTCCTCGCTTACAGATACGGTTGCAGAAAGAAACGCTTTGCGAGAACACGTGTACCCCAAGCTACGGGAATTCTGCAGGGAAAACTATGGGATGGAATTTCAGGTACTTCTTTCCTACCATTCAAAATTTGAAGCCGGGCCGTTCGTACGCATGCTAAACATCACTAAGTGAGTCATGAGGTCGTTAAGTGAATTGGGCTAACCCCTCCTCTTGACTTTGCTTGTCGGAAGGTCGCAAATGGATATCGCGTGGCCCCGGGATGCCTGTAAACCATCGTAAGTGTAGTTAGTTGTCAAGCAAACCGAATGTCAATCCCTTGACCACTGGTGAATCCTGCAAGGACCGTAAAAGTGTGAATAATAATAATAATAATAATAATAATAATAATAATAATAATAATAAGTGACTAAGAAATAAGTCATTTTTTTCAGTGCTGTGGTAACTTTGAACAGTCACTAAGCGAAGTGTTGTAAGCAGGGGTGGAATTCTACTGGTTCAGACCGGTTTAGGCGAACCAGATGTTAATTTTACATCTGGTTCACCAAACTGGTAGTTGAACTGACCAGCTGGCCCCGACTCACCCCACCCCACCCCTCCCAGAAGTCTCCATGCGGCCCATTTTGAATGCAGGTAAGTGCAGAGTCCGCGCGAAGCTTCTGGGAGGGTGAAAAATGGGCCGAACCGGAAGTTCTGGAAGTCTGGAAAGGGGCCTGTTTCCAGCTTCCAGAGGCCCTTTCAAAGCCTGGGGGAGGCCATCTTCACCTTCCCAGAGGTCATAGGGAAGCCTCCGGACCCTGGGGAAGACAAAAAATGGCCGAACCAGAAGTTCCAGAAGTCCAGAAAGGCGCCTGTTTCCGGCTTCCAGAGGCTCTTTGGAGGCCGGGAAAGACCATTTTTACCCTCCTAGAGTCCCAAGGGAAGCGTCTGGACTCTGGGAAAGGCGAAAAACAGCCAAACCGGAAGTTCCAGAAGCTGGAAACAGGCCCGGAAGCCGTTTTCACCCTCCCAGAGGCCGGAGGGAAGCCTCCACACCCTCAAGAAGGCAAAAAAATGGCCAAACCGGAAATTCCGGTAGGCCACACCCACCATGGCCACGTCCACCCAGCAACCAGGCAGTGAACCGGTTGCTGGGATTTTTGAATCCCACCCCTGGTTGTAAGTCAAAGACTGCCTGTCTAAGCGACGTAACTTTAGTAAAACCTCTTTTGTCATCATGAGGGTATCCTTGCCCCCAATTTGAGGAAAGGCATGATGGAACAATAATGGCCATTGGATTTGTGGTCTTCCCCAAGAATTGCCTTCTGTTGGTTCTCTTCTGCAACAAAGTATAGCATGCCTACAACATTTGTTTGTGGGTTGTAACGCTAAATGCACACCCACCTAATCAATATGTGAGCATGAATGTTGTGTTTTGGCTGCTGTCTCCATGGCGCTGACTTAAAAATCATCGTCACAGCAGGGAGATACTGTCTGGTACTATGTCTAGGTGGCATTTCTGTAGCCTCACAAAATAAAACACTCGGGTGGCCCCTTCAGAAGATTTCACAGCCAAGGATAATTCTATGCCATTATTGTTTTATCCTATAGGGACACAGTGGCTCAGTGGCTAAGATGCTGAGCTTGTCGATCAGAAAGGTCGGCAGTTTGGCAGTTCGAATCCCTAGCGCTGCATAATGGACTGAGCTCCCATTACTTGTCCCAGCTTCTGCCAACCTAGCAGTTCAAAAGCATGTAAAAATATGCAAGTAGAAAAATAGGGACCACTTTGGTGGGAAGGGAACAGCGTTCCGTGCGCCTTCAGTGTTTAGTCATTCCGGCCACATGACCATGGAGATGTCTTTGGACAGCGCTGGCTCTTTGGCTTGGTAACGGAGATGAGCAGCGCCCCCTAGAGCTGGAAATGACTAGCACATATGTGTGAGGGGAACCTTTATCTTATTGTTTTATCCATTTTTCTCTTGCTGCTTCCATCATATTGTTGTCACCTTCAAATTGGAATTGCCCTTTAACTTCATGGTGGTGTCTTGTTTCTCTTGTAAATGCCCATTTGTAGAGTTGCATGTGGTGTGATATTGCTATTATTCTGATTATTCATCCAGTCTCAGGCTGGGCTGTAAGGTTTAGCTCAGGTCATTTATGTGTGCCGATCTTTCTGCAGGCATCAAATCATCACAATTTTAGCAACAAAGACTCCCAACTCCAATCTCATCCAAGGCTAAGAGGAGCGATATTGACAACTTATTGTACAAAACAGGCCATTTTTGCATAATTTGACACACAACAGTGGGGGAGAAGACGGATGAGAGGAGGAATTGAGATGTGTTCTCTTTTTAATGCAGCAATTTGTGTGCACACTCAGTCAGGCATCAAAGCACTTCAGCTCAGTGGTCAAAAATATTGAATTGCCATGATGTGATTACGCCTGGCACAGGAAAAATCAGAAGTAGAATAGAAATATGCTACTTTATGCTAAAGGCAGGTCTTTCTTTTGTAAGTTCTTTTATTTATTTTTTTAAAGGTCAACTGATTATTATTTTTTGAGTTTCAGAAAGCAAAGCCTCATGTTAAATACTGATTTTTGAGAGTTGTTGCTTTTCTAAAAGAAAGAAATAGCTCGGTTAAAAAATAAATCTATATATATATAAGTGAAATGTCACTCTCGCATCATCACAAAATCTCCGGAACCGTAGAGCCTACAAACTTGAAATTTGGCACTTATGTTCCTTTTGGCTTCTAGGTGCTCACTAAGAAAGGATTTTTCAAAATGACCATCAGAGCATAAGTATTTCCCATGTTATTATTATTAACATGCTCTGATGCTAAAGAGTTCTACTCCTCTTCCCCACTTGAAAAGAAATCTGTTCCAAGTGCAAAACACAAGCAGAGGGGAGGAACTTCAGTTTCAGTTTTAGTTTCACAGCACCAAGTAGCTTTAATACAGAACAGCTGAGCTAAGCCACGCCCAGGCTCCTTGCTGTCTCCTTCTTGCTCAGCAAATACTATTTCAGTTTCCAAACAGCCCTCAACTCTCTCACACACTGACAGGAAGTTAGCCAGATGAATACCGATGGATGCTGGTAGGCAGAGGCAGAATTTTCTTTTCCTCATTTTCCTCCTCAAAAACTAAGTCCAACCACATAGTTTCATAGCGAAGCATGGGTACAGAGCTAGTTGATAAATAAAACTACAGTTCGAGGTACGGTTGCCATTAATGTTATTGAATTTCTATGTACTAACCAATGTGACCCATGTTGCCTTTCTAAATCCAGAGGTAATAGCAAAGATTCCATATCTTTGCTTGACAATTTTCCTCCCCTAAACCTTAACAGGGTTTTAGCGGCTACTGCCAAACTGGATTAAATCATAGCCTTTTCCTCAGGGAATTCTTGAAACCATCATTTTTGCAAGATTGGAAGAGATCTTTACTCATTTCCCCCCAAAAAAAGAATAACTCCCAGGATTTACTAGAGCAAGGGTGTCAAACTCAAGAGCGTCAAACTCAAGGTGCTTAGATCTGGGGGGCCCAAGCTCCGTTTTCACCGGCGAGGGCTAGCAAAACAAACTAAAAACAAAACAAAAGGAGAAATATTTCCCGTTTTGCATTTGACCGTGCAAGAAGGGACAGGAAAGGAGAAAGGGAAAGAGGAAAGACCAAAAAAAAAAAAGGAAAGGAGAAGAGAGGGGGGAGGAGGGAAGGAAGGAAGGAAGGAAGGAAGGAAGGAAGGAAGGAAGGAAGGAAGGAAGGAAATAAATAAATTATATTGAAAGGGAGGGAGGGTCTGAGGGAAGCATTGTCTTAGCACTTGGCTACCATAGGTGCCCCCGACACAAGTGATGTTGAGCTGGCCACTCCCACCCTGGCCACTCCCACCCTGGCCACACCCATCCCCCCAAGGTCAAACACAAACATGGAGCGGCCTTCCATGAAATTGAGTTTGACACCCCTGGATTAGAGGAAAGCTATAAAATTCATATCATCACGATATAGATGAAGTCATCAAGTCGCAGCAAATGATATAAGAGAAAAGCATTTAGGATCACCCTTAAACCTTTTCAGAATTGTGTCTGCTCATTTATGGCCTCCCTACAATAAATTTATACATCGGTATGCTGGGAGCCAGCAGTGAGTTACTACGTGGGTTGTGGTTGATTCGGAACCACACCAGATGGAAGGTCCTGAGGACTAGGACGTCAAGCAGCCACAGCCATAGTTTTGCTAGGGTTGAACTTTCTTCTCCTTCTCCAGACTCTCAACAGCTTTCATGCTCTATAAGCAGTGGTGGCTAACCTTTTTGGCTACTGTGCCAAAAATTGGGCATGCGCTTGCACACTCACATTTGTGTGCCAGCACCCAGAAGGCAATGCGCCCCCCCCCCCCACATCCTCTATGCATGCACGCACAATCCCCCACCCACCCACCACCACCTCCTTACCTGCACTGTGCCTCACAGCTGATTTTCGGCGGGTTTGAGGTCTTTCTCGGCCTCCCAAAGGCTTGAGGAAGGCTTCTGCAGGCTTCTGCAAGCTTTGTAGGCTGAAAACTAACCCCATTTCATCACTTCCTGTTTTTCCCAAAATACCAGAAGTGATGAAACTGGGCTAGTGTTCGGCCTACAAAGCTTGCAGAAGCCTGCAGAAGCCTTCCTCAAGCCTTTGGGAGGCCAAAAAAGGCCTCAAACCCGCCGAAAATCAGCTGTGAGGTGCGCACATGTGCAGTGAGGTAAGTTTGCCTGCAGCTTGCGTGCCGGCACAAATGGCTCTGCGTGCCACCTGTGGCATGCGTGCCATAGGTTCGCCACCACAGCTCTATAGCAAGTCAGACAAACAAACAATAAGCAACAGCCTGATCAAAGAATCATCTAGAACAGTCCCACCAATAGTGACAGAGCAAGAACATGCGCATAGAAACCAGAAAATCCCACACACTTCTAGCACTGATGATGTTACCTAGTTGGGTAGCTAAACGTCTGCAAGAAAACCACCAAGCTCAGAGAACACCAAAGACCTCATGATTGAAGCTTCTGGGCTGCCACCTCTACCCACCTATCCTGGTGAAGCTGATGCCAAACATGAACCCAGATAGAAACAACTCTGAGAAGAGT